GGGGGGGGGGGAAAGAGATGAAAGTCGGAGAGGAAGGAGGGTTAAGAATCACAAGATGAGAGTCCTCGATGCATCGACCCAGCACACGCCCAGCTGGGCTGGTACGCGAGCCACCCCACATCGGGTGGTGTGCGTTAAGATCACCAAGTAGTATGAAGTGGTCGTGATTAGATGAGAAAGAGGTAATAGAAGAAATAACAGTAGGAGAGACGGGTCTATTCGGGTGTCTGTAGGCATCAATAAGAAATAGGGAGGAATTGTTAAGGGTAAGAACAATGCCTAAGGCCTCAAAAGAATCGTCGAGGATCGAGGACAGATTAATGGTTGAATAAGTAATCGGATTGCGTATGAGGACCATCATACCTCTGATGTTGGCTCAATTAGAGTCGACACGAAGGCAGTCGAATCCACGCAGTCGAAATTCCTGAGCAGCGTCCACACATGTTTCCGCGAGGAATAGTATGTCGAGGGTTGAAGCCAACCTTTCGATATCGCCCTTCTTTCCCATAGCGCAGCGGCAATTCCAACATGCTATCTTGACTGAATGTAAATTAGGCATTCCTATTTAAGAAATTTTGTAGAAAAGTAAGGCTGTTGTGAAAATCAGGACCGAATATTGAAACAAGGAGCTGGTTTGAATGGCGTTGAGTATTTTTAACAAGAAAGATAATCCAATGGATAATTTGGGGAACTTCGTTTGAATTAGAATCCGAGGGGGGAGAAGAGTGGAAGAGGAAGAGGGTGGTACAGCGGGATAGCCAGACCCCTGGGGGGGGGGGAGGTTAGGGTATCTGCCATTTGGTGCAAAAATAAGGGAGTTGTGAACTTCACGTTGAAAATTAAGAGAATTTGAAGCATGATGGTTCATAGGTTTCGCTTTATTGGAAGGTACATCATTATATTGTGTGCGGGGTGCAATAGAATATGAAGACGAACGTTGCGGTTGATCATTGGGCCGGTAGGGAGCAGGGTTATGACCTGCCACCGAAGAATAGGAGCGATCGGGCATGCCGGTGCGGGGGTGGATATAGTGCTCGTGCGTTATGAGATTTATGTATGGGTTCGGAAGATAGAAGATCGTGATATTGTATGAGAGAGCGATCCATATTAGGAGATTGTGAAAGCGAAGGGAAGTCGGAAGAATGGAAGATATTGGGAGGGGAAGCAGGGGAAGAGAAGAGTGAGGAGGAAAATTGTCTGAGACGGGCCTCTGAGTATGATATTTTTTCCAGGGCAGCAATCGTGTAGATCTGTTTTTGTTTAATGTAAGAAGGGCACGTCGTTGAGGATGGCAAGTGCTCACCTCCGCAATTGCAACAAAGTGGGTGGAGCTGTAGGCGAGGACATTCTTCTGGAATTGCATGCTTGGGGTTCCCACAGCGGGCACATCTCGCTCTGCCCTTACAATCCGCATTTACATGACCGTATCGTAAGCAAGAAAAACATATGAGGACCCTAGAGAAGTAGGGGGAAACCGGGAAATTAACGTGGAAAAAGGTGACCGCACGTGGAAGAAGCTGGCCGCGAAATTTAATCAGAACAGTTTTGGAAGGAGAGTTGACAGTCTCGCCTTCTTTGCGTGATTTAAAATTTAAACGTTTAGCTGATAGAATTTTGCATGGGGATGAAAAAAGTTCCACGATGTCTTTTTCAGAGATGTCGAAAGGAACGTTTCTGATCACGCCCGTCCGGAGAACGTTAAAAGATGGAATGAATGCATGGAGGCCGGCATCTTTAATTTTGGGATGAGAAAGTGTTATGTTCGCTATTGCATAATCGCTAAAGTGAATGGCAACTTTGTTTATTCCTGCCGACTTAACCTCCAAAATCTTCCCGTTGGCAAAATGGGAGACGATACGCGCAACAGAAACAGGGCCTAAACGTATATCATTGTTATTATCAGAACTATTTATAGAACGACGCATAAAGACGATAAATGGGGAACGATCCCCTTTGTCATAAATAACATTAAGATGTTCAGTAACCGAAGGGGCATCTTTAGCATGTGACGCTGATTCCGACGAGTGAACGTCATTGTCAAGTACCGAGCCACGGAGACATTTATTAGGGGGTGCCCCCCTTCCCTATTATCACGAGTTTTCTTCAGTAAGGGTCTTGAAACTAAAGTTTGAGATTCCTCTTCGTCAAAACCAACATCCATGGTATCGTCCACGGAAGTGTCTTTATAGGACGAAAGATGAGGCTCTTCCCGATTTTCATATGTGATATTTACCGGGGAACGGGATCTCGGACGAGAGAAAGACTGGACAGACGTATTAGAATATGTAGAATTGGCAGGAGAGAGATCACGCGAAATGCGCGAGGCCCTCTCCCCCCTCTCCTTCCTTTTTTGTTTGCGTTCTTTATCGCTCTCGCACGCAGACGATGCCATAGATTTAGAATCTCTGACAGATTTAACCGTTTTATTGGCGTTTTTAGGTTTTAAGAATTTAACAGCCGGGCGAGCTACACTTTGTGACGGATTAGCCCGATTCTCGACCTCATCGCCACGATCATCACCAACACGCTCGAAGAATGAATTGAGTTCTTGAAGAGACGTAGAAAAGCGTTTGTTAATGGATGCCGAGCCGCCGCCGGGATCCGGCGAGGCAGAGGCGCGGTCCTGCATAGCAGGAATAGAGCGTTAAAAACAGGCAATAATAAGCGTACTTACACGTAACTAAGTAAAAAAGGAGCCTCATAAAGGCTAACAAAAAGCACAGGGAAAGCACAGACAAAGGAAGCACGGGAAACAACCAGCAGAGCGCAGGCGCCAAAGGACCACACTGGATGGATGCTCGCGAGCGAATGTGGCTCGACGCTTGCTTGAGTGAAATAGCAAGGTTCTCTCTCGCTCTCGGCGCGCCGACAAGGTAAGCAATAAGAACGTAGTGCGAAAAGGACAGAGCGATATAGTCGACACGCTTCTAACCATAGACATATAAGATAGACCCAGCATCTATAGTACATGTTGGGGTTTGGCAGAACGGTGCGAGAGGCAAGATATCGGGGCAACCTGTCCTTCTCTGCGCGT